ATCGCATCTCAGAAGTTTGCCCTAAATGCACAAAGATACGCGATCTAGTATGTGTAATCATAATTGCATGTCTTTTTTATATTATTTATATATTTTTTATATTTTATATTATATTTATATATTATATACATTTATATATTTCTTATATTTTATTATTTCTGTGGACAATGATATGCGTCGCAAAGAAATGGTACATTTTCGCGACCCACTTTCTTCTTGCATTCCTTCTGTTTTCATTCTGGGAATGGAAATACTGTTCAATTCGAACCGCCCTAATATTTCCTCGCAGCTTGTACTCGAAAACCAAAAAAAAAAAGAAAAGAAAAAGAATCGTATCGACCTCGGAAGAAAACAAACGAAGAAGACGGTGTTCCCGCATTTACCGAACCCGGCGAGCCGCGGATTCAATTCCACGCTTCCCACATGCATTCCGCACTGGAAATATTCGCGACCCACGATCTACACCGTAAATTTTCTGATTACACCGGACCCAATTTCTCTCCGCTCTGATACGCAGTCGCCGTGGCAGTTGCAGGCAACGCGAGTACAGTGGTCCCCTTTAACCCTTTGCACTCGAAGCTATTTTAACTGTAAATATAAAATCAATTTTCTCGCTTATAGTGTTTCTGTTATACGTGACAAATTATGCATGTTATGCGCATGAAATTGACTCTTGGGCCTCGCGCAATAATTGCACTCTTAGCAATCTTTTAAATCTAAATTTTGTTGATATCAAAATTATCTTGAAACGTGATATAACAAATTTTAGTGCTGCCTCAGGGTCACCACTCGAGCGCAAAGGGTTAACCCTTTGCACTCGAATGGCGACTCTGCGGCGCCACTAGAAATTGGTATACTATTTTTCAAAATCATTCTAAAAGCATCAAACTCGTTTATATTTAAAAGAAGCTATTAAAAATTCCATTGTACTTGCCAATAAGTTCAATTTTACATGCACAAATCGCAATAAATTATATAAAATAGAAATACTGTAGATCAGAAATCATGTTTTGGATTTCGAATTCAAATAGCTTCGACTGCAAAGGGTTAATACCACCCCTAGCAAACAGCGTTCTATCGCACGAACCGAACGTTTTCTACAGAAATTGAGCATTGTAAACAGATCGATTAACTATATAACTTTATTGGATATGTTAATTCTGATTCTTGGATAAAAATCGAATTACTGTCTGTTTTTGGAAAGCGCGAAATGTTTGATTTTCGTCTAATCAAGAAATTGATGAAAGGGAAACGAATTTTGTAGGTAATAAGAATTTTTGAAGTGGAGATACGATTATTCTAGTCTCGCGGATGACTTTTTTATCGAATAGTCACGGAGTCAAATTGTCAGTTTTTGACAATTGGAGAGAATTTAGACAAAAATGGACAATTTGGGAAGGGCTGATACGATTGTTCGAGCTTTGTGGCTCGTTTTCTATGACTATCGATTGTCGACGTTTATAAAAACGAACCACAAGGCTCGAACAATCGTAACAGCTCTTCAAAAATTGTCCATTTTCGTGGACAATCTGAGCGTCGATTAGAGAGACATCACTGTACAACAAATTTTATCCAATTGTCCCTCGGCTTGTAAACAAAAATTGTCCATTTTTGAAGTGGAGATATGATTATTCTAGTCTCGCGGATGGTTTTTTTTATCGTTGTTGACGATCGCCGACTACAAAAACGAGCCACGAGACTCGAATAGTCACGGAGTCAAATTGTCAGTTTTTTGTTTACAAGCTGAACGACAATTGGAGAGAATTTAGTGTAGTAGGTCTCTTGGACAGGCAGGGTCTCTTAACCCCTTGCACTATAACAATGAGTCGGATTCGCGAAGAAGATATCGTACGTGATCCAAGAAACACAAGTGTTATTTATGTTATTATTATTTATTATTATATTATTAATAATTTTATTATTATTAATAATTTCTAAGGTAATCAAGTTTAAATTGGAGCGATTGAATTTGTAATTGTCTGCGTTGTCATGCGATAATGATTATTTGTCGAGTCCGAAATATTAACGTTTCTGTCATTACAATTTATTTTAGTGACAGTCGACGGTGTCTTAACATCTTGTTAAATGTTTCTCATCGATCAGAGAATGGAACTTCAGAAATTGACTCAAAATTGATTGAAAGTTGATTCGAGATCGATTCGAAATTGATAAAAATGTACGAATTTCCAAAATTATTGCTCGAATAGAAAATTCATCAAGATACAACTTTTAACAAGAATGTGCATTCTTTTTATCAGTTACATAACTTCTTCTGACCGGAGAAGGAATATTCTGTCATCTGATAAACTGACTTAATTTTACGTGATCAGCAACCAGCTGTAGCTCGTGAGAAGACGCTGTTTTACGTCAGTGACTGCGAATGTGGTCATGATAAATACGTGACATTGTTTGTGAACACATCAAGTATCAAGAAAACGTCACATTTTCATTTTACAATCGGTAAAATCGTGAAGATACTTTAATTTTCATTAGAAATAAAAATCGAATCGGTCTGAGCGCACAGCATAAAAACATTTGCAAAAACCATGAAATTCAACGACTAATAAATACAGTAAATTCTCCCTAATTTTCCATCAGCTTGTAAACAAAAATGGACAATTTGGGAAGAGGAGATACGATTATTCGAGTCTTGTAGCTCGTTTTTATAAACGATTATTTACCTCTATCTTCTACTATTTTTAATAGAATCTCAAGCTTTCGTGTATACCTTTAGATTATCATACTAATTCTGTCGAATCTTTCGGAGCGCACAGCATAAAAACATTTGCAAAACCATGAAATTCAACGACTAATAAATACAGTAAATTCTCCCTAATTTTCCATCAGCTTGTAAACAAAAATGGACAATTTGGGAAGAGGAGATACGATTATTCGAGCCTTGTAGCTCGTTTTTATAAACGATTATTTACCTCTATCTTCTATTATTTTTAATAGAATCTCGAGCTTTCGTATATACCTTTAGGTTACCATACTAATTCTGTCGAATCTTTCAAAATTTCTTATACAAAGTCATATCGTCAAATACGATGGACTTTCTCGCACTTATTGGTTGCTTCGCAAGTCCAAACGTGACCATCAGATTCGAATAACATCGTACAAGGTCAATCGCGTGGAAAGAAATCACCAATTGGTATGTAACACAAAGAAAAGATCTAAATGACTATTTCCACAGTTTGACACTTTAACTATCGCGTCACCCATGCGTGGGTGACGCAGTTACTCAGATTTGAAAATAAAGTTTCACGCTAAACCATTGTATGTCTGTGAAACGTAAGAATGTTGAAAATGTAGTTGACGTCACAGAACGTAGCTTATCTTCCAATCTTAATTTGGTTAAATAAAATATGTTAACGTTATTAAATCTTTGGGCTAGCTGGCATTACAGTCGAAGCGTTAACCCCTTGCACTACGGTTTCTTTCATAAAAGCCTTGATTGGCACTTCTTTGTCCTCCAACTCGTTGCACTACGATTTCTTTCACAGCTACTTTTTTTGTCGTTGATAATCTTCCCGATAAGACGAGACAATATTTTAGGTTCTTTTAAACCTGCATTTACTTTCTTCCTTGATTTTCATGACAGAGGAGACCAGTTTCGGTTTAAAAAATATATAACGTAACTAACATTAATAATAATAGTAATAATAAATTTAATTTATTAATAATATAAATAATGTAATATGAATAATATAATATGAATAATATAATATAAGTAATATAATACAAATAATATAATAATAAATAATATAATACACAAATAATATAAATATAATTATATATATTATATAATTATATATAATTATTAATAATTATATTATTATATTATAAATTATAATTATATATAATTATAAATAAATAATAATAACATAAATAACACTTGTGTTTCTTGGATCACGTACGATATCTTCTTCGCGAATCCGACTCATTGTTATAGTGCAAGGGGTTAAGAGACCCTGCCTGTCCAAGAGACCTACTACACTAAATTCTCTCCAATTGTCGTTCAGCTTGTAAACAAAAAACTGACAATTTGACTCCGTGACTATTCGAGTCTCGTGGCTCGTTTTCGTAGTCGGCGATCGTCAACAACGATAAAAAGAAACCATCCGCGAGACTAGAATAATCGTATCTCCACTTCAAAAATTGTCCATTTTTGTCTACAAGCCGAGGAACAATTGTATAAAATTTGCTGTACAGATAATGTCTCTCTAATCGACGCTCAGATTGTCCACGAAAATGGACAATTTTCGAAGAGGAGATACGATTGTTCGAGCTTCGTGGCTCGTTTTTTATGCGATTATAAAAACGAACCGCAAGGCTCGAACAATCGTGTCAGCTCTTCAAAAATTGTCCATTTTCGTGTATAATCCGAGCGTCGATTAGGGAGACATTACTGTACTTCTAAACTGAAAGTGATCGGATGAGATACGATCGAAAAACCGATGAACTCGACAGAACAAAAAGAAGAGCAGCTGACATAGACACCACTTACAAGATAGTCGTAACGATGCGAGCTCCGATTTTGTTAAAGACTCCGGCTAATAAATAATAATTTGTATACTTAATGTTCATCTATACAATTAGTATTGCGATATTTTATAAGAACTTTTCGTTTATTTTTATAGTTATTTTTAAGTTCCGCTATAATTCAGTATGCCTTATAACAAAATATATATATATTATATATAATATAATATTATTAATATAATAATATTTTATTTATTTTATTTATTTATAATATGATATTATATTATATATAATATATAATTATTATAATATATAATATATATATATATAAAAATATATTATATATTATAATTATTAATTAATATATTTAATATATTATATTATATATTATAATTATTAATTAATATATTTACTATATTATATTATATATATATAATTAATTAATATATTACATAATATATATTATATATATAAATAAATATTATAACAAAATATGCCTTATAACAAACAAAACTTACAAGATAGTCGTGTTGGCCGGTACCCGCACTACCTGGCCCAGCTTCCGAGACGTGCACTGCACCGTGGTCGAGTAGCACAAGCACAAACGCGGGCATTCCCTTCTGGCGTCGATCCACTGGTGTTTCGCGGCCGACTCCTGCAGGATCGGCAGGACGAAGCAGCAGACAGCTGCACCGAGCAGTACCAGTCGGCCCATCATAGCTGCGGGACCGATCCTTCTCGCATCAGAGACGTTCGCACACCGATCGGTAGCACGTGTTCGTCACCGAGACGAGGGACCACTGTGCAACGAGCCAAGTGTACTTTCACCTACTGGCACCCGGGAGGTCCTGCTGTGGCGGTCCTGTTTGCGAGCCTCTCTCAGCTTCGCTGACACAATCTCTTCTGTTCGGCTGCCTCGTTTCTTCGGCGAACGCTTGACTTTTTCGATGAACACGTCTTCGGGGTCTCTTTCTAGGTCTTCAGGGTCTCTTTAGGTTTTCTGGGTTCTCCAGGTGTTCAGGATGCCTAGGTTTGCGGGTCTCTTCTAGGTCTTCTCAAGTTTTCTAGGTCTTTGGAAACTTTGGATTTTCAGAGTCTCTAGATCTCCGGGATCTCCGCGGTCTCTCCAGGTTCTTCAGGATCACTCTAGCTTTTCATAGTCTCCAGCTCCTCGAGAACTTTCAGGTCTTCAAGATCTCCGGGTCTCCGGGTCTCTCCAGAGTCCCAGGTCTCCGAGGACCGGTGACCTCAGATTCGGCAGTGGATTTCGTCCTTTTTTTCCGTCTGCCTGGCCGATGCGACTGGTTCTCTGGATGGCAAATCGTGTCTGCGAGTCCGAAGCAACGGCGGCGACTGAAAGAAGAGGCGAAGAAGGACGCCGCCGCTCCGTTCCCGTCTCGTCTCGTTTCGTCTCGTCTCGACGCGGCTGCTCGGCTACTACTGGAGCTCCTCCGCGCCGCTCCACACGCTGTGGACCCTGGAGACCGAGCGTACGCACGTCGTCGTCCGGGAGTATATACGAAAGCTTTTCCTCGCGAGCCTCTCTCTCTCTTCTCCTCTCTCCCTCTCTCTCTCTCTCTCTCTCTCTCTCACGAGCGAGAGAGCGAGCGAGCGTTCTCCCCCTCTCTCTCTTTCTCCCCTACGTTATACGTCCCCTCTCTCTTTCCGCCATCTTCCTCGGTTCTGGTCCCCTGGCGGCTCCGGTTTGTTCATCGAGTTCTACGCCCCCTCCCGTGACCCGATCGCGAACTTTTTAATTTGTTTATACTGTAACACGTGGGCCGTTCTTATCCACGGATCAACATTATTCGCTTGATACGCTTCTTCAGAATTTTGCCAAAATGTTGGTTTTAGACAGTCCGTGTTTACGCGTGTTTATGCCAATTCGCATCATTCGGATCATGAGTGACCTCAATAGTCATTTTTATGGAAATCACTGTTCCGGTTGAGGGCCAAATTGTTTTGTTTGTATCTGAATTTTTCAGTTTTGCATGCAAGCTTTATATTTTGTTTTACTATTTTTGATACGAATTTATACATACAAGTTCTATGTTTCGTGCTTATATAATATTATATACTATATTATACCATATTACCATATTATATACCATTTGTTTATACTGCAACACGTGGGCCGTTCTTACCCACGGATCAACATTATTCGCTTGATACGCTTCTTCTGAATTTTGCCAAAATTTGTTTATGCGTGTTTATGCGAATTCGCTATTTTGGGCGGATACGCTGGGATCATGAGTGACCTCGATAGTCATTTTTATGGAAATCGCTGTTCCGGTTGAGGGCCAAGTTGTTTTGTTTGTATCCGAATCTTCAGTTTACGAATTTATATACAAGTTCTATGTTTCTTGTTTTTATTTTAAATAGAATTTATTAACAATTTTCATAACTCATATCAATCTGTATCGAGAACGACTGAAGATATAGATTTCAATGCTTCGACATAAGTCATGAAATGATTAAATTATTTTTAATAAATTTATATAGCTTTCAATTGCTTTAAATTACATCAAATAGATTACCGTGGGACTTTTCCATTTAAATTATCTGAATCTTCAGTTTTTTGTATGCAAGTTTTATATTTTGTTTTACTATTTTTGATACGAATTTATATACAAGTTCTATGTTTCTTGTTTTTATTTTAAATAGAATCTATTAACAAGTTTCATAACTCTATCAATCTCTGTCGAAAACGACCGAAGATATAGATTTCAATGCTTCGACATAAGTCATGAAATAATTAAATTATTTTTAATAAATTTATATATAGCTTTCAATTGCCCTAAATTACATTAAATAAATTTCCATGGAACTTTTCTATTTAAATTATCTACTTAATTGTAACGTTGTGTAAATGCGTAAATATGTGTGTACATGTTCACGTGTTACTCTATTGCCAGAAAACTAATCAGTCGTTTCTCCGTTAACCCTTTGCACTCGAAGCGATTTTAACTGTGAATATAAAATCATTTTTTCTAACTTGTAGTATTTTTATTTTATATGACAAAACGCATTTTATGCATATAAAATTGACTCTTGGGACTCACGCAACAGTTACACTGTTAACAATTTTGTAAATCTAAACTTTGTTAATATCAAAATTATCTTAAAACGTGATGTAACGAATTTTAGCAGTGCCTCTGAGTCACCACACTCGAATATAAAGGGTTAATTCAATAGAAGCCATGGGATTTATCACGTTTATACATATATTCTTATCCTACTTCGAGACAATTAAATTGTTTTTTCCGTAACGACTCCGTTATTTAATTTCGAATCAGAAAATGTATAATGTAAGACAATTAAATCGTTTTTTCCCCGCTTAGCTACCACGTTACACCAAAGAATTAATCACGTCGTTTTTTACTGTCTCGGAGATAATTTCGATTTTCTGCCGCGAACAAACAGGGAATTGAAGTCCGAAGCGTTTAATAGCAACCTCGAGATTATACGATTCAAATAAACGCTGACTCTTTAACAGTAGTTCAAACACGATAAATATTTATGAATTTCGTTCTCTGTGCTTGCAATGCATCGAGCGTTACCGTAACCTAACGTCGTGCTGTTTCTTTTTCCATTCTTCTTCAGTGTTTCACGGTAATGCAGTACTTGTAGATTTACTCGGTAATTGGCGCTTGCAGAGAAACTCTGCTACAGTGTTCTGAAAGTAAAATTCAGGTACGACATGTTAGCTTTAGCAAAACACTTGACAATGAAAAACAATGAAAAGATATTTTCATTTAACATGCTGCTTTATTGACATGCTAATTACCGCGCTATGAATTTTGTCCGTTCCTAATAAAAACGAGTAGCTGAAATATACAATTGTGGAGACAAAATGATAATTTATGAATATTGTTATATTATTTTTAGTTTTAGTTTTAGTTTATTCTTATTAAATTATTATATTTCAAATTATTATTTTTATTTTTATCTTTAGTTTATTCTTATTAAATTATTATATTTTAAATTATTATTTTTATTTTTATTTTTAGTTTTTATTCTTATTAAATTAGTATATTTTAAATTATTATTTTTATTTTTATTTTTAGTTTATTCTTATTAAATTAGTATATTTTAAATTATTATTTTTAGTTTTATTTTTAGTTTATTCTTATTAAATTTCTGTTTCTCGGAATCATCTTGGAAAATTTCAATTTTCCATAAAAATCCACAGTCTACCAACGATATAATGTTTCGAATGCCACATATGTTAAATGCCAATGTACATTGAACGCTGAATAGCCAGAATATTTCTCCAAAATTTGCAGTACAAAATGAACGACTTAAATAACATTCTCCTTAAAGTGCAACCGAATTTAAGAAGAATGCCATTTAAGTCGTCCATTTGGTACTGCAAATTTTAGAGAAATATATCAAAATTGTTCGGCGAAGCTACGTCGGCGGCTGGATTAGATCAGTTCATACGAAATTAAAATTCGCTCGCACATTTAATTTCATATCAACTGATCTAATCCAGCCGCCGACGTAGCTTCGCCGAACAATTTTGTTTCCACCGCCGAGCAGCGTTTCACCCAAGACAGCCCAAATCCCTTCATCTCGGCGGAAGCCAACGCTTTCTCCGGTTGAACGCGAACAGATCTTCTGTAACAAGCGCAAATCCTGCGGTGTCAAAATTTGAGGGGCTTCCGGTCCTCGGGCGTCATTAACCCCTTAATGCCACAGTTTTTTTGAAAAAGGCCGGCCAAAAAAAATCAATTTTTTTTTAAATGTAAGAAAACAATTTAGAACGTTGTCTTGGCAAGAAAATTACAAAAATACAAAAATAATCAAAATTTTTATTGCGATTCTAATTTTCAGAATATTACTATTATTATTATTGTTATTATTATTATTATTGCTGTTGTTGTTGTTATTATTATTGTTGTTGTTGCTGTTGTTGTTGTTATTATTGTTATTATTATTATTATTATTATTATTATTATTATATTTTATTTTACATTATATTTTAGTAAAATATATATTGAAAAATGAGCGAATCAGAATCTGAATATGAATACGCTGTCGGAAAGCGGCTCACAAGGAAGAGATAAGTCGTAAGTGATAAGTAGAAAAAGGATATATTTTATACTTGAATAAGTAAGTGTTATAGCTTATAATCCCATGTAAATGATAAATATCAATAAAACGATTGTTGTTTTTTGCTTTCACATTGTTATTTTCAATTCTCGATCGCATTCGAGTGTGAACAATTATAGCAACATAAAGTACAAGGCCGCTCGAATTATCTCGAGTGTACACAGTTTGGCCAGTTTAGCGCGCTCGAGTTTACTCGAGCGTGCACGTTAAGGGGTTAACGCGGTTCAGATCCCCGGGAATCGCAACTGTACGTACGGTCACACACAGAACAGGCCAAGAAGGACGCGATATCAGCCAGCATCGTCCACGCCAGAACGCAGTGTCCTGTGGAACTCGTCGTCGTCGCATCCGACTGGCACGTGCAAAAACCACGCTGCGGACAGATACAAAGCAGCCAATTGTACGCGGACGGTTTCCTTGGAATTGCCAGCGACAAAAAGACAGTGACCCCGGGGACCCATGAGACCGCGGCCATGATAGTGTCAAGTAGAAGGACGCGTCGTGCGAGACGCGTCTGGTCCGTAGAACCACATCGAGCACTTTGAATTTGTTTTTACCATTGCAACGTAGGAATCTGTCATCTTCGTCGTTTTAATGGCCTTTCGCGGAGATTGTTTGTTGACACGTAAAATTGATTCTACGAATTTCGAAGTAGATCAATGTTGTAAATTCTCCTCAATTGTCACTCGACTTATAAGCAATAATGGACAATTTTGGGAGAGGAGACACGATTACAATAATTTCTCCCTAATTCGCGCTCTGATGTTGACAATAGGTAACTATAAAACCGAGCTGCGAGGCTCGAATAATCGTATCTCCTCTTCTCAAATTGTCCATTTTTGTGCGCAATTTGAGCGCGAATTAGAGAGAAATTATTGTTTTATTAATTATTTTATTTATTAATTATTTGAGTCTTGCAGCTCATTTTTATAGTTGTTGAGAATCGGCACCTTTGAAAACGAGCTGCGAGGCTCGAATAATCGTTCCTCTTCTTCCCAAATTGTTCATTTTTATTTACAAGTGGAGAGACAATTTGAGGGAATTTACTGTACAGTCAACTTTGTTTTTGGAAGTTTTTGATTTTTGTAACACAAGCAAGAGTCGATTCAACGTTTGATACTTTACGAAGGCTTATCGATGGCCATCAATCGTTCTATCCGATGGCACTTCTTTACCTAATCTAGATTATTGTATCTTTCATATAGGTGAAGTTATACAGGGTGGCGGGTTCCTCAGGTCATTCGAAGCAACTTTTTCCTTTACAAAAATTTTCTCCGAGGCACCGTTAACGAGTTATTAACGAAAAACCGGGACCAATGAGAGGCGAGCTCGGCTGGCGCGAGGAGACCGAGCCAATGAGCGGAACTGGGCTTCGCGCGCTGGTTGGCT